TCAACCCACCACAACTTGTTAGGCACAAAATATGGCAGCATTTGTCTTTTAACAGAAGAAGACATACAATTTTCAAAGTGACAGTCTATATGCAAACTATTATCTTCCAGTGAGACTTGACAGAACCACCAGCTCCTCAGTCCAAAAAAAGTAAAAAGAGAATCTCAAAGACATTTTGAGCAAAGTTCACAGGACTAACTCGATTTCCTCATGCTGTTCAAATTGCATATTACAGTGGAAATCCTCCAGCACGCTGTGCAAGCGGTCTTCCTGCATAGAACAGGAATCAGAGTCGATCTCAAACTCACCTTTACACATCATAGCTGCTTCACTGATTTCAGTAGTACCTCCCCTTTGATTAAAGCTAATCATCTGCATAAATCTTAGCAGGAGTTGGGTATAAAAGATCTTGAATGGCTATTTCTGGGATATTCCTTTCTGGAAGATTTATTTTTAGGCTTAATTATATACTTCTGATTATAGACGAAGAAGTTAGAATGGGAAAGAAAATATGCTACAGGAATCTACTGTTTCTGAAGTTGCTCTGGCATCAGTGTTTAACATCCCAACGATAAGGCTGCACTCTTGAGAAGGCCTCTTCTCCCCACTGGCTGTGACAGTTTTACAAAACCCAAAAGAAAGATTTGCGCCACCCCACAACAGATCAAAGCTGAACCTGCTATGACTTACCAGATGCCGGTTGCAAATCAAAATACAGAAAGATTTAGGTTTTACTTTTCCATAGACTTCAGACTTTGTATTTATCCCAGTCCATTTTTTCAGGCATTTATAAGTATTTTCATTTGGTTTGTTATAGCCTTCTAAACCTAATTTTTTTCAATTGCATAAGCAGCACTGACACATCATCGTTCAGATACTGACTTGTCTTGGGAAGCCTCTGAAAGGAGTACTCCTATTTATAAACAAATATATGAAAAGGATTATAAGGAGAAATTTTCCCCTCTATCCTTCACTATAATATTTGTGAAAACTCTTGAAAGACAAATATTAAAAAAGAGCATTGTTGAATATGTCTCCTTTATAAATGTATATTTTGCTTCCCAACAACCAAACCAGGACGTACAATGACAGTGTTACAAATTAGAGATGTGGATAAGGAATATAGCACATTTTAAAAAAATAAAAATACATCTTTCTTACAAGTAATAAGAAGTAAAAGCAAGAATATCATAAAATCATAGAATGGATTGGGTTGGAAGGGACCTTAAAGCTCATCCAGTTCCAACCCCCCTGCCATGGGCAGGGACACCCTCCACTAGACCAGGTTGCCCAAAGCCCCATCCAACCTGGCCTTGAACACTTCCGGGGAGGGGCACAGCTTCTGAGGGGGCATCCACAGCTTCTCTGGGCAACCACTTCCAGTGCCTCACCACCCTCACAGTAAAGAATTTCCTTCTAATATCTCATCTAAATCTACTCTCCTTCAGCTTAAAGCCATTACCCCTTGTCCTGTCACTACATGCCCTTGTAAGCAGTCCCTCTCCAGCTTTCCTGTAGGCCCCCTTTAGGTACTGGAGGGCTGCTATAAGGTCTCCCCGGAGTCTTCTCTTCTCCAGGCTGAACAACCCCAACTCTCTCAGCCTGTCTTCACAGGACAGGTGCTCCAGCCCTCTGATCATCTTCATGGTCCTCCTCTGGACTCACTCCAACAGCTCCATGTCCTTCTTGTAGTGGGGACCTCAGAGCTGGACTTTAATATATTTAAAGATTGATAAGAAAGGATTAAACTTTATGTTTTCCATAGGGTATCCTCAGTATTTCAAGTCTATTTCACAGAAACACATAACTTATAAGTACATTGATTGCCTAAACAAATATCAAAATTATAATTAATTATTTACTGGATTCAAAGAAAAGAAGATAATTAGTTTATGGAGCCAAGGAAAAAAAAAAGATATATTCCTATTTTATCCCAGAGGAACTAATTACTCTTAGGCACTGCTAGCACTGTTAAAAAAACAGCACCTGTATCCAGTGTGATTGCTAATACGCAAATATACTTATTGTAAGAGGTAAGCAAGAAGCACGTCTCTCCCCAGGGTTCCTCCTGTCACTGCGGTACATTTCTGGCTACTGGGAAAGTTGTTCTGCAGCTTTCACGGAGCTGACATTAATGCTTTTCTACAATTCATCCAGCAAAAGCCAAACCACATTTCTCTTGCAAACAGAGAAGTAGTTAACGCATGATGGAGATACAAAGTAATGATCAAATCCTCTGAACCCTTTTCTATGCTGAAAGGAGACAGCTGCTAAGCATGTGGACCAGTTCAAAAGCTACTCATTATTTACATTTATTTCCATACACTAAATGTCAAATTTGTAATATGCAAATAAATACTGTCAGCATATAAGCAATCTCCAGAGAGACTATTTTCCTGCCATGAGGCACGTCCAGTATAATTCTAATGTAAACAGGTGCTTTGCCTAAAAACAAAAGTAATCACATTTTGCTTTGATTTCTGCCAAAAAACCAGACAAAACCCAAGTTGTGCTTCAGCATGCCAAGTGGGATGTTCAGCTGTTCATCATAATGTTCAAATTAAGGACAGGACCACAAGCTGCTCTCAGAAGAACTCTCTACAGCTGAGATACTTAACACAAGGGACCCAGGCACACTGATGATGGCTAACTCATAAACACAAATGATCACCATTCTTTAAACCACCAACATCCTGAGGATGAAACAGTTTATTTCTAAATGCCATAATTTGTCCAGTTCCTTAAAAATTTGGTAAGTTACTAAAAAAAGCTATAAGATTTAAACTGAGCTTCTTGTTTCCTAGTCATCTCCTTCATGCTATTTCCATGTTTCACAGCAATCTACCAGTGAAGTCACAAGGCTGATTTCTATGAGCAGCAGCGACCAACACTTACCCTTATGTGAGGAAGCACAGGCCATGTGCATTTACAAACTGTTTCAGACAGATTTATTTTGATATACAAGTTTCGTAGTTTTCTCAAAGACTAGTCAGCAACCCCTTATAAGTACTGCATCAGCATCACTTATGTGACAGGACCCTACTTTCTTATAAAAAATTAAAACATAACCTAATAAAAAACCTGGAGTTATCAAAAATAACATGCAATAAACAAGAAGCTTCATTTCTGTTTATTGCAGTGGTTTGCTGTGTCCAAGGCAACCATAGAAGAGTGTTTTCCACAGCATGGCACAGATTTTTGAAGCTAAAAATTGTAATGATACTACATGGTGGGAGTGCACACTTTCAGAGATTGCGGAGACATTCAGTAACAAGGAGAGAGCAGAGGGCAATGAAGATGCTACTACACTGCTGCTTCTCTGCTGGCACTAGCTCACAGCTGCGAAACACTGATAACGCGTTAAGGTGAAACTCATCTATGTGCCTGTGTGCTGCATCACTTAAGACATACTATAAAAATGTAGTAAGCACTAGAAACGACACATAATCAGAACCTTTACTTCTTACAATAAATACAGTGTCAGGAGAAAAAAAAAAGCATACTGATAGCGCTGCAGAAGTACAAACAGGTTAGGAAGATAAGCAATGCTGTATCAGAAAATGAAACCATTCACACACCGTGAGGTAATTCAGTATTAGAGTCTTCATCCAGAAATGGAGTACCCACTTCACATGAATCCACCCTTTGCATAGCCCCTAAAGTCACCAACCAGAGGAACTTTACTCTTTTAACAAAAATCACCAATAACTGATTAGCAGAATAATATGGCCATGTAGTGCATTTCTTCTACCTTGATGAAGTATTATCCTAACGTAATGTCATATTTCATACAGTTTCTGTTTCTCTCTCTAAAAAAAAAAATCACGCTGTAAATCACAGGGTACCTTGGACTTCTCCAGGCAGCACAAGCAGCAGAACTCAAGCCAGGGACAGCAACTCAGAATCACGGAAACAAGATTTCTCTTTAGGTATGAAACCTGAAATCACCTGCATAGTGGTGGTATTCTGAAAGGCACTCTGCAACAAAGTTCTGTCAGTGTACACATCCCAGGACAGACCAAAACGGCAAAGAGAAGGGACTTGCATTCCCTGGCCTCAGAAGGAGGCTACCAAGGAATCAGAAGCAATGTTCCCAAGTCCTGTCAAGAACAGCACCAGCTGAAATGACCCTGGGGTCAGAGATGCTGCTTTGGATTTCTGGCTCTCTCCTGCCCACTGGAAGATGAGATGTAATGCTTCCAGCAGGGAAGCTCAATGCTGTGGAGAAGAACATCCCCAAAACTACTGGAGCTCGCCAGCCAGTAACTTCCCCTCTATGAACATATTCTACCTTTGAGTTCCTACTGCAGAAGTGTCCAACTCAAGGCCTCTGTGCTTAAAAACTAGAAAATGTTCCCAGAAAGTTGTTCAGCTACTTTCCAATTCCTTGCCGTTAATGAAAGGAATGTGGAAAAATCAGACAGATGTCAGAAGTAGATGGATATTGATAAAAAGAAATAAAAAAGAAAGCGTTCACAGAGAATTTTTTGAGAGGACGAGGAATGCAGCAAGGCATAAGACATTTTTAGCTGGTTGGAAAAAGCATGTCAAAAAGTTTAAGATTGTGCTTCCTCAGTCTCACAATGTACTTCACAAAAGCCTGATCAACTCAGGGAAGATGAAAATAGAAGAAATGCAAGTCACAGGAACAGGCCCTTATACTGTGAAGGAAGTACTATTGAACAGACATGCCTTCAAAAAGTGAAATCTAACTATGTTTTATTCTTACCTTTGCTTTCCTCAGCAGAAAGCTTTTCTTCAGAATCATCCACAGGATTCTGTGAAGATTTTTCAGGGGAAAGAGGTGACTTGGACACATTGCTCTGCTCAGGTTCAAGTCTGGACCTAGAAGCAAAAGAGCTATAATTTAACTCACCCAGTCGAATTTCTCTAAAATGACAAGAACCACAGATTAAATTTGACACTTTAACCCTTACAAACTTCACATTAAGGATTTCCCAGTCAAGATACAAAACGTACTTAGCAACTTTCACTGAAATATTATTACAAAAGCAAAGAGAGCATGGCTGGGATTGTTGAACAAAATACATTACATGTTCAGAGTTGAGGATAATTTTGAAGGCTATAGCATAAAAACATGGACATTTTATTAAACTTCCTTTCAAAAATCCAGTGTATTAATATATATATATATCTTTTTAAAAAACCCAAACCAGCCAACATTTTGGTCATACTGAAAATTCTTTTTAGTAGCCATAGCCAACACCACTATTTCATTTTTTTCAAGTAATAATTACAATTTTACTTTATATTGTCAATTATCATAAAGGAAAAGTAAGAACATACAACAGAATTAGCTTTTTCCTGACACTAGTATTTTTATTTAACTAGCTTTAAAGAATAGTTTAACCAGGATGAAAGTGATCCTTACCTTATCTGCCAAAAGACACAATAGACCATTTAGAAGCAAGGAAAAGAAAAATTGTATGTAGTGGACAGATACATACTACATCTAAGTCCCTGCTATATAATTTTAATACAAAGGCAATGAAAAAGTGAGAAGCATATTCGGTGATTATATATTAAGTACTTGGCAAGTATGTTTCGCTGTGGCACCAAAAAAATTTAAAATTAGTGGCAACATATTTTTTCCAGTAAACCTCTGTGGTTTATTGTTATCTACAATGAATTCTGTAACCGCTCCGTAGCGGACTGTTAAACATTTAGCGTTTATGCTGTTCGGAAAGCTAAAAAAAAAACCCCAAAAAGAATGAACTAAATCACCTGCTGTGCCACCTTCATCACTTCCTCCACTCTCAAATATAATCCAGTTAATCTCATTATGATCTGCAATCTTCCCCTGCTGCTTAACAGAAGGTGTTGCATTTTGTCTTCCTCTCCTCCTTTGTATTGTGTCTAAATTCTAACCCATAATTAGAAAATTCTCAGAAAAACAGAATATAATGCATTAGTCATCACTGACTGACTACGTTAAACAAGAAAAAACAGTACCAGGGAACCTTTTGTAGTTTTAAAAACTCTGCAAGTACTGGGCTTTTGGTAATTTTACAAAAAAGAGCTCCTCTCATCTCCTCCCTCTCGAGTCCCAAATTTGCCTAATAATGAGGAAAAAAAGACTTATCAGGTTGTCCATGTAGTTCAAATAATAGTTCTGATATTAATAAAACATCAATTCCCCAAATAAAAATATCAGCTTGATTTGAATAATTGCATACATAATTCACAAGATGTTCTAATGAAAAAAGTTTAAAATTGAAATGAAATTTTGAATATGAATAAACCAAAACTGAAAACCACAACCAAGTACCTTTACAGGAAGAGCTGCTTGTGTTTCTATTTCTCAACTTTTCCTTCTGATAAATTAGCCCTATGTAATTTGCAGAACTTTTTAATCAAAAAATACAAGTTAATTCATAAAGGCAACTTATATAAGAAAATTATAACACTCAGGCAATTTTTTGAGGAGCTTAGGGTGTTTATCAATATAAAAGGAAACACGATGAAGTATATTTCTGCTGCAAACCTTTCAGTATTGTCTGGTATGCACGTATTTTAAGCTGGCTAAATTGCAGGAAAGAACATCTGCACTAGGATTAATTTACTTTTAAATAAATGTATTCCTTTATTGTTTGTTGTCCTTACTTTGCACAGTATGCTAATGTACAAGTTTTCAATTAAAAATGAACAAAATGCCTGGGATGCACTATTTAAAGAATGCCTAGTTCTTTTAAGTGATGAACGCGTTCTTCTTATCACATAAAGCGTCTGTTGAAATCCTTGGGGAGATTACGAATCAACTACTTGAAGGCATATGAAAAAAGATAATTTTTCTTCCAGTCATCATAAAGATTGGTTTATGGCCTACGATTTATTTAAATTTAATTTTAATTTAAATGACAATTTAGCCATTACATCACATCTACAATGCATACAGACTCCACCTAGTCAACATCTGTTTCCGAGTTCTTCCATCCATAAAAAGAGGCAGAGAGGTATCCTCCAATATTACATAAAAGGACTGCATCTTCTGGGTTATTTTTTAATGCCTTATAGCTCTTTAATTAAGTGGTATTCCAACTTCTGAAATAGCTCTTTCATTGCTCCATGTTTAACATACATCAAATTAAGCTGTTTTCTTTGTTTAGTCATCTGAGAAATCTTGGAAACAATACTATAAGAGTACAACAAACAGAAGAGCTGGAATTTGTTAGCCAATTCTCTAACTTCAGGAACTATGCTATTTTTATTTGAAGTTTTTAGCGTGAAGGACACTGATAAGGTTATGGATTTTTACACACAAAAAAAATATCACACCGTTTATTTCTGTATGTTTCTTCTGAAAAGTTATGGGCGTTACAAAAATACCAAATGCCTTACTTTTCTATCATTACTTCTTACCAAATTTCAGAGCCAGTTTGGAGTATTTTGTTTACTTGGTTTTGGCTTGTACTACTATTAGGTCTCAGGAGGATACATCTGAGTGAATCTAATTGGGCTTAATCATACTGAATCATTCTGAATAAAACGTACTTATGGATTTCTGAAAACATCTCTCTAGTTTCAATGTAAATAGCTGGTTGAGCCAAACACCAAACTGATAAAGCAGCATCAAGTCTTGGAAAAACACTCAAGAATTTATTTATTGATGCGTATGTTCTAGAATTTGTTATTTTTTAGTTAAAATGTACATAACAGAACTTAAGGTTAGAATTCAAATAATGCAGATTGAGAAGACATGGAAAGCCTTTCAGCTATTAAATATATTGCAAACCTGTTAATTCTCCCTGTCATTCTTACACTTGAGAGTATGCAGAAAAAGAACTGAAAAAAGGTATGTTTTCTGACACTTGACTAAAACAAAAAAAAAACCCAACCCCAAAACCCAACCCAAAACAGATGAAAAAGCCAGCAAGCACATCATCTTTAACTTCTCCTAGACATTTTCAACTCTACATTAGCAGCCTGAACATATGCCACGATAAGAAGCAGAAACTCTTTTGTTTCAATTAAAAAGTTACATACAAGATTTTTGTCGTGTTTCTACTTGCCATGAAGACCTGCCATCTCAAGCAGCATTTATTTACAACATAATCACTTGCTTTAGCAGAAAGATGGTGGCTTAAAAAAAAAAAAAAAAGAAAGAAGAAAAAAAAGGCAAAAAGAATAGGAGAGAAGAGTGAATCTCTCTTGTACCTAAACAGACAGTATCCTAAATAACACCTTTGAGACATATAACCAATGTGAAGGATTTCACATTTATGCAGAATATTACTTAGTGGGACAGACAAAAATATTTTGTTGCATTTGTAGAAGTCCAATAGGTATGTTAACTCACATTCTACTGCTTTGGTCCTTTAGTCTTCTACATAAATGGAAACTACAACACTATAGTGGCACTCTGCCATTTACAGACTTAACTTCACATGCCAGAAGTGTAGGAGTGCCCTGGAACGCACCTGCTGACAGCAGAAGTTGCTCATCCAACTACAGATTTCAATCTCCTTAGAATCTAAACATGAATAATAGTTTTGTTGAATGTCCTACAAATGAAAGGTAAACTATTTTTGACAGTACTCACAATCTCTTCTTATCTATCACTCGCTTAACTCGGATGGCTCTCTGTTCAGAATACAGCTTACACACTCCTGTTGAGGATAGCAGTACACAATAGGTTAGAAGAGCATTATTTCTTTCTCGGAAAATGCAATCATTCGTTTTTAACCGTTCAATAATTACTAAGTACTTTTTAAGTAATCTTCAATGAAGTCCAAGACAGCTGTTCTGTGCTCCTTTACCTGAGCAGACTGGACACCCTTGTGTGCTGAAATACAAAAGAAAGATAAAATATAGTCTTTTAAGTTTTTACTGAATTACACTGAAATTTGCATTTTCAGTTGATACGCAAGTCATATTCAAGAGCCTATTAACATTTTATATGTGTTATATAGTAGTATTAAATTTGAAATAGTATTTGGAACATAGCTATATTTAAATATAGGTTCTGAAAACAGCAAATCATTACAACAAAGCAAAAGCTTAAAAAACTTGTGTCTTACAATATTTATGTTATTGACTTGTTACATATGCCACTGAGTCACATTATGTCAATTAAATTTCTAAACAAGAATAGATGTCACCAAGATAAGCATAGCAAAACAGATCTAGAGACTTAACTTGCACAAAATATTTGAACTTCTAACATTTTTAATTCTCCAGTATATAGACTATGTGTAAATATTTGGGATTTATTGTGTCAAGCATCCTTTTAATTCATATATATTAATATTTCTTATTTTGATACTATGAAGTTCCTATGCATGACTGACTTGCAATGATTCTGAATAATGCTACAACTATGTTTAGATGGCATTTCAAAGCTGATGAAAATCATTGGTATATTGATAAAACACATACACACAGAGCAAGTCAACTTGGAAATGGCAAAACAGAAGTTCTCTCCACAACTTTCCTAAGACAGTGTTGTAAAGGCATGATCCCATACTCAAGCTGGTACTTTATCAGGGCTCTGTTAAAGTTATTCGATTATCTCAAATTTGGAAAGATTATACTCGTAATACCTTACAGTTGGACAAGCTAGAAAGACACAATCATTGAGTTTAGTTCAGGCCTCTGTGCCACACTGCAAAATTACTACTCAAGTAGCAAATATTTAAGACTATCTTTTTTACACTTGCTAATTAGCATATTTGAACAAATTAATAAAATTTCATGCTCTAGCTTCTCCTTCCACTAACATTATAGAAAATTAAGTACAGTACTAATCAGTCAATGGGATTACACAGGTGCAAACAAAGAGGCAATGAGACGTCACCAATCTCTTTCCAAAAGCATTTCAGATTCACCATCCAATATTCAGCATTATATCAGCCTTTATCAATAACTAAGAAAAAACATTTAAGAGTTGCTCCGTTTACCTTCTGTTCTCAGCTGATGAATGGCATCGGCACATGTCCTCATAAATATCTGAGCATCTTGATCTATCTGATCACGCTCTGTATCTGTCATCCTCACATAGTCAGACATAATATGGCTGAGAAACAAGACAAACTGTCATTTAAGAAATCCCCAACATAATATCTACAAGTACACATCTTAGACCTTCTCCCCACTCACCATCTCCACAGAAGCTCTGCTGCAACACTGATTTTCACAGAAAAAGAAGTAAAAAGTACAATAACCATCACTGAGAAAAATGCCAACTTCTATAAAGCTGAGATGTTTTTTTAAAACATTTTTGACTAGTAAGAGATGAAAAAGCAATATATCCTACCATCTCGTACATGATCAAATATTGAGCAGATAAGGAGAAAACACAGCTAGAAAATTTATGGTTACCCTCAGTACTTATTCCAATGAAGCATTTTTCAATTCTAAAAACAAGTAGGATAAAGGTGCAGATCAAATGTTGAAAGAAATACAAAAAAATTGAACTTACTTTACTTAAATGTGTGTTTTCATTATCCTAAATACTGAGCTTCATTTTTAAAGTAGCTGTGCTATGAAATCTGTGAGTTCAAACCACAGTAAAGAACAACACTGGAAAATAATGCACATTTTTAATATCAAGTCATTGTAAGATTTATTAAAACCTGTTCCAATTGTTTATTTCTATTTTAGATGATACATTATTGTATTTAATATTTTGTAATAGGATTAATATATCTTTCTGTTAAAAAATGTCAGTAAAATATTAACACACTTAATACACAAAAGCATACTGTATAACTGTATTTAACAGTGTTTCCACAGCCATAGATGACAGGATGATAAAACTTGGCTACAGCAGCTTATCCTATGTTCATCTTAGGCTTCCTGATGATACAGTCATCACAGTCTATTATATTTGCTTTTAAGAAAAAGGAAAGAAAACCTCATTTTAATTTCAATTTTTATTTATATGTGCAAATTTCCCCACTTGTTCAAGGTATGTATAATGCAACTATATCATGCAGTAATACAAGTAAAAAGAAGGTATCTTCAATTTGCAAAGCTCGTCTGCTACACTTAGAGATCTCTTACACACTTCACTGCAACAATGCCAAATCTTCCCTGTGTCTGCTT